TCTCGACCTGATCCCAACCAAGGGTGCAAGCTTCATCAACAATCGGTGGGACATCGTGAACGAAGTTGTCCTTCGCAACATCACCCGTCAGCGCAGGTTAAATGCGGATTGGGCGCTATCTTGCATCCAGTCTGACTTGCGCCACAGAATCGCCAGGCGCCCAGGCTCGGAATGGCTTGACAACCGGTGCCAGGTGGCATTCAACAGTGTCATCAAATGTGATGAAGGAGGGTGGGTGCTGATCGAAGACTTGGTGAGGCATGAGCCACTATGGACCCATGAAAGCAGACGCATCACCGAAGGGGTCTCAAGGACCGATGACCAACAGAAGAAGAGAGTGTACAATGAAAGACTTCAGCTATTGTTCCAGGGGAACATGATTGCAGCCACGAAACGCAACAAGGCCAAGATTCGGTTGCAGTTCCTGGGTGTGAGAGTGAAGGACCCCGGCACGGAAGTTCTTGGGTCAGCAGGTTCGAACATGTTGGTATCAGTTCGGGACCAGATCGCAGAGATCCAGAGCAACGACCATTGCCGACATGGCCAGAGGTACCTGAACCAATGCAACGGCTGGGTGAAGCCATGGGCAGTTCGGGCTACGAGTGGTCACTCTGCGCATTCAGATCCCCAGAACAACTTGCTTCAGTTGGACAAGAACAGGTTTGCAATATCTCCATCTATGACCCTCTTGCAACGTCTTGGAGGTGCGTTCCACGCTACGGCATGCCGCAACTTGGATTCCATTGTCACGCAAGGCATCATGCCTGGTTCGGAGGACCCCGACGGGGACTTTGACCATCGGCGCCAATTCCGAGGCAACCAAGGCGGCAGACTCCACAGCTATTGGGGGGTGTTTGCGCCGTTCGATCACCGGAACGCAACGACCAAGATGCGAGTACACGGACGAGACGCCAAGCATATGCCATTGGCGGTTCTTCATGTCCCATCGCAAGATCTTGCACGAGAGGATGGACGTATCACAGACAGCGGCATCATGATCGTTGGTCGAACGATACCTTTCCATTTCGTCAAGGAGGTATGGTTTTGCGTCCCTGATCCTCGAGATACACACTCTTTCGCTCTGGTGGAAAAGATCTACGATGAAAGGTTGGAGAAAGAGCTGGTGTTGGACTACAATGCATCACCGTTGCTTCCCGAGTTCGAGAGATACCGAACGCCAAGCAAGATCATGGAATTGCTTTGCGAGATGCCTCCTGGACCCCACGACACAAGCAAGGAGCAGATCATTCGTGACCTCACAACTGTCTTGGAGTCCCACAGGGAGAACACGGTTCGGCATCACTACATGGACAAGGGAATCAAGTTTGTCATCAAGAATTGGCGACCCGAAGACCTACGCAGAGACGAGGATGGAAGGAGAATGAGGGTATGCCCGGCATGCTACAACATTGTTCCAGCATGTTTCTCCCGATGCACGTCTTGCTGGTCACAGTTCATTTCAAGCGGATATTATCAAGGTTCTCCACAACGGGATACTCCTACGGAGATCCCCAGTGACTTCATTGCTCAGACAATGGAAGCCGCAGCAGCCGCAGTGCCTGAGGCGCCCGAAGAGGAGCAGGAAGCCATGGAGGTAGAGACCGTTGCGGAACCTGAAGAAATCCCAGAACCATCTGTCGTTGCGGAAGACGATCCAGAACAGGAACCTGATGAAGAAATGGACGTTGAGCCTGAAGAGGACTTCGATGACGCAGTTCCGGAAGCAATCGCACAGGAACGTCGTCCCGTCTTCCTTACCGGCCAGTCTTTGAACATCGATCCTGAACTACAACTTGCACGTACCGCCATGCAGCCATCCTACTATTCTGGAAAGCGAAATGCTCATTGCATCGATGCGAACATGACCGCTCTGTCGTACATGGCATACGTGGTATGCCGATCCATCTACAAAGCTTGGTCAGGATTCGCAAAGTGGGCGACTATGCCGTTGTTTCAGATGAGGGAAAGTTTCGCGCTTGGCCAACGCTATGATGTGCTTGGGAAGTGGGGATCTTTGGCAGCAGTGGACAAGGAAACAGGTGTCAGTAGGGATGTGACTGATGAGGAGATCATTCGCTTCGCGAAAGAACCTGAGAACCTCAAACAGTATGATCCCAACGGGATTTACACCTTGAAGCGCTTCCGCACGAACCAGATGCTTTCTTTACTTGTACGGGGAGCCAACATGATGGGAATTGGCAGGGACAACTTCAGCCCTACTACTTACTTGAAGAGCGACAGGGATGAAGATGTCAAGGCAATGCACTTTTGTTGCCTGAACGTCCTATGCGAGGTGATCCCAATGGTGACGGGACACCAACAATTCTCGGTGCTACGACCAACGCCAACTGGACCAGTGGACTTCTTGTACATCGACCCTGTCGGCATTCTGCTAACTCATTCTGATCAGTCAGTCCAGACCATCGCCTTGCTAGTGGATCACAGCATCCAAATGCCTGCGCACTTCATGGACAGATTGAACAGATCCAAGAATGAGAGACAGCAAAACCCGACGACAAGGCGTACAGAGGCCCTACACCACATTTCGGCCGCTGATTATCTTCCTCCAGGTGGTACTTCCATTCTGGACACGCCGGTCACTACGGAGGAACGTGAAAGCGCTTCTTCATCCAAGGGACCTTCAAAAGGGCGTGGAAGAACCGGAGGCGAGCAACATGGTGGCTGGAACACCAATTCCTACCACGACTACATCGCCGCCAAAGGCCGAAACAAAGGCAAGGACAAGGGAAAGCCAAGGAACCCATATCCAGAGGAGAACCTCCGGCCCTGGGAACGCGATCCTACGTCAACGCGAAGATGGTGGCGAGACAACGCCTGATCTTCCTCGCCTATCAGTTCGTGACCTCTGAGCTTCGCCCGTGGAATGCCATCGCGAATGCTTCTTTCTTCGGTGACGCCTGATTCGTTTGTCATTTCAGGGGATCGTTACTGACGTAGATGAGTGTCACAACGTTTCTAATTGGGATACAAAGCTCTGATTTTCAATGTCAACGTTGCGGCGGAATTTTCTTCTGTCCTATCGTGCCATCTTCCGGGTGAGCAGCGTCGGAGACGCAACTCATGGGGGGTGCGAACGGACTGCGATGCCTTGTCAAGTTCTAAGGTGTCACTATAAGAGCTGTGAGCAAGACCGTGTAAAGTGCAAGAGAAGGGGGCACGCTACGCGTCCCTCGACTCTAGGGGGCATGCTACGCATCCCTCGTCTTTACCTTTCTATGTGACCGCCAACGCAACGTTTGGCTCAAGTCAATGCCCATAGCTAAGTGCTATATGTGTCTTCTATCCTGAGCAATCAGAGCTATCCCGTTGCACAGACGAACCGCCGCCGGCAGTGAGTGCAAAAGGAGCGGCCGCCGGTTCTGCCTGCATAGGATCGCACGTGTGGGAGTACGAGAGAGAGACAGGGTCCAGTTTGTGGAGAGTGCTAGCCAGCCACACCTACATTCATTACAGCTCTGGTGGGGAGAGCAGCAACCAAGTCGAGATCAATCCCCCACGCATGGGCGAACACCTGAGCAAGCGGAAGATGGCGATTCTGACGTCGTCTCTGGAGGAAGCTCGATCGGCCCTCGCCGAAGTAGTCGAGGAGCTGACGGAGGAGGCTGGGTTTCTTAGCAGGGCCTACGACTTGGGGCTAATCGAAGTCCCTCGAGACGACCTGTCGGACAGGAGCGTGATCTCGGGCTCAGGGTACGCCACGAGAGTCAGAACATCTAAGAAGTCCACCTCGGACCTTAAATCGTGAAAGATGTCGGTGCAACTTCCTTTGTCAGGACCCTAAACCCCTAAACCCCTAAACCCTAAACCCTAAACCCCTAAACCCTAAACCCTAAACCCCTAAACCCCTAAACCCTAAACCCTAAACCCCTAAACCCTAAACCCCTAAACCCGAAACCCTAAACCCCAAAAAGGGTGGTCGAGGACATCTTGGCGAAGAAGGCCGACCGAAGCCGGAGAGCCAGGGGCTCCGCGAGGAGTGGCGGAGGTCAAGGCCACGGAGCTGCTAACCTCTTCGGGGACTTAGTAAGTAAGGGTTCCTTTAAAGGGAACTCCAGAAAGTTGGAATATGGTTTCAGGGTAGGATACCCTGTAATTTACCATAAAGGGTTTAGGATAATCATATTCCAACTTTCTGGCTTTTACTTTAAGGAGGTCCTAAAAGGGATCTATAGGGGTTCCTTAAAGGGATCTATAGGGTTTAGTCTTCGCGGAAGAGGCCCCCGTGACTGTGGACCCAGGGTTGAACCGGGATCATGTCTTTGTACTTTGTAAGCGGTTGTCCTAATTCGGTGCATGTTGTATCGCGAAGTGACCGAAGAGACTTAGTATCAATGTGATATTTTGAAGCATATTTCTCGGTTGTCACCCAACACGGGAAGTAGACCGCTGCACCGTCATCCTTAGAAGTTCCTTAGAGGTCACGCAGTTTCTTCACGGGGGCATTACTGCCGACTATTAGGGGCCGCCTTTTTTCTGTATTCAGGCGGAGTAACCCTGCACGAACCAGACTGTGCACCGGCAGGTTAGGGTCTTAGGGCTACGGGTTTTGAAGAAGGAGTCTAACACCATGACGCTGAATTATTAAAAGATGGGTACACCCCAACTCAGAAGCAAACCAACACCTTAGAAGCTTTCATGCTGGTGGCCATACACCCTAAACCTTGAACCCTGAACCTCAGAACCGTTCCCTACCAAGGCCTACTATTTTTGTGGGTTCCTTGCAATAAACGCCTATACGAGACAACCGGCTAGGGTAGTATACGGCAAAACTGAGACACCTCCAGCCCTGCACCCTTCGCCCTATGCACTAAACTTCAAACGCCGAGACCGTAAACCTTAAACCCTTACCACTAAACCCTGCACCGTAAACCCTAAACCCCGTGGAGGTGGGCTCAACTTGCCCCGTTGTCGCGCGGAGCAGAAAGGGTCCACTACACTTTAAAAAAGAACCCTAAACCCGGAACGCTTGCTGTGCTGAGGCCTGGAGAAGGACCTAAAGTCTCTCAAGGAGACGACGGCCGAGGTGGGCAAGTACTTGGACAACAAGGCAGACATGGGTTCCGGGTTTAGGGTTTAGGGTTCAGGGTTCAGGGTTTGGGGTTTAGGGTTCAGGGTTTAGGGTTCAGGGTTTAGGGTTTATCTTTCACGGCTCAGGGAATTTATAAGGGTTGTTTTGTTTAAAAGACTCAGAGCGGGCTTATTTATATATGCTGAATTCAGGAAGTTTGTTCACAGGCTTTGGGTTTATTGAGGGTTCCATTACGGGTTTCTACAAGGTGAGTTAGTAGGGTTTAGGTTTTATGGTCTTCGGGTCTTCTTCGGGTTTTGGGGTAAGTCTAGGGTTTATAAACGCGCATAGGTGTTTCAGCAACGAGGAATTCCGATGTGTTTCTTTTCTTGGAATGCAAATTCGACACCTCGATGCGGGCGGCTTAAGACATGTCTGCGGGCCGTCGAGGTTTCGCACGAGCTTGCTTCCCGAAGGGTCCAAGTACCATTAGAGTAGGTACTTAGTAGGTATGTGGGCCCCCAAAAGTATATACTATACTATTGCTTGGACCCTTTGGGCTTGGGATCGCCACGAGAACAGCCGCAACGCAAACGCTGCGTGCAAACAGTGGTTCCTGACTTCAAGTGTGGCGAAGTCCGCCTTTGATGTGGCTTATGGTTTCCTGCTGAGACGGGACCGCCACATGGCTGTATACTCAAAGCGTCGAGCGAGACAGAACTGACGTGCTGCCACAGCAGTGCGCTTGTTCTGGAGGCGGATGCACTCAGCGCAACGCCACTGCATTCAGTGGGCCATGCCCCTCCGACACATCAGCGAGAATTCCCTGGCACCAGGTCGGTACTCCCAATGGGATCTGAAGGTCTGGCTCAGTTTTCCGGCAAAGGAACCCTTGTGGGAGATCATGGGCGGAGGGGAGCATGGGTGTGCCATAAATGGACATAAGACTGCTCCGAGGAAAACAACTTCGCACACTAACCCTGTTTTGTAGAGTTCCCATTCTGCTGAGACACTGAAGGCAAGTTGAATGAGGGTACCAGCAGGGACTCGTGTGTTCGGGAGTGGAAGGAAGAAATCCATACAGCAGCACCTGTATATTCGATGGTTTTGTCAAAGGGGAAAAGGCGGGACCCTTAATGGGGACCCCTACCCAATCATGGGCTACATAATGGGTATATAATGGCTATATAAAGGGTATATACCTAGGGGTCCTTATTAAGGGTCCCTCCTTTTACCCTTGGATTTTGTGAACTTCCGAAACAAAAGCCACACCCTTTCGACCCAAGACCTTCAAGCTCGAATGTTCAACCTGAAGCCTCAGCCGAAGAGCCCTGAACCCGCAAAGTCACTCCGTCTATCCCTCTCTTTTCTCGCTCTCTCTCTGTCTCTTTCTCTCTTTTCTGGGCTTGTCTCTTTTCCACGGCCTTACACCCTAAACCATGAGCTCTAAGCCCCTAAATCCATATACATATATATATATATATATACACATACATACATACACATACACGTACATACATATGTATATATATATATATGTATAAATATACATACATGTGCCCTGTTCTTCTGTGGAGGTCGGAGATCTCCAAAACGCCAAGTCAGGGCCCCTAGCGGAGACGAAGGCGCTACAATGGTTAATTTGTGGCAAAGTGTCTCTAGATCTGAGCGACACTCTTTTGCCCTTTTTCTTCAAGGTCACCGTATTGAAGCAATAAAAGTAGGAAAAAGGGTACCCTAATCTCAGTGGTACTTAAAAAATACTTTTTAATTTTTGGTTACTATAATCACTAAGAAACAGCTAAAATTATAATTTTTGCTAGGGTTCTAAGTTCAGTATAGTAATATTATTATGGGGCCACTCAGGAACCTAGGTCTTCTTAGTTTATTTTGTAACGCTTTTGTAGGGTTGTGTAAGGTTTGGCGGCAGCGGGGTTTTGGGTGTCGGGTTTGGGATTCAGCGGGTTGATTTGCATTTCAGGGTTTTTGGGTTTCGTGTTTACGGATGACGACTTTTGGCTGTAAGTTTACCTTAGGGACGGACGGTGTGCGGCGTGGGTAGGAATACAGCAACCTGAACCCCAACAGTGCACTGACATGAGGCAGAGGGTGTAAAGACTTCCGGGTACACCATTTGAGCGTAGAGATTTGAGGTGTATGCTGGCGTGTTTGGGGCTCCTGCAGCATTTTTGGGGTTGGTCTGCTCCACAGCAACAGTTCCACCGCAAGAGAAGGTGGCCAACTATCACAAGGCAACTCCCCCAAAGGACCTGGACCCCGGGACAAGTAATATTCGGCCTTCAACCTCTTGTAGAGTAGTATGTATCCTCCCCAATATGGGAGCTTCCTAAAATAGGGGACCCTAATATAGCACACTAAATTGTAGGATCCTTGTTATAAGGACCCCAAAACAAGGTACCCCTAGTTTTCGGAAACCCTCATATAGCCGTATACCCGAAACACTATTCTTCCTTGACCGTTTACACGCCCGGCCCATCCTTAGACGCCTTCAGGGAAACCTATTAAGTTCAGACCGGCCTCTGTATAACCGGGACCCAGACCCCCGGGAGGATTTAGAAAGTAGATCCCCTGATTTGGGGCCCTATACTACTAAGGGTACTTTATAGGAACCCTCATTAAGGGATCTACTTCTTGGATCCTCCCGGGGGTCAAGGAAGTGGACGTTCTTCCTGAATGCAGCTTTCCAATAAGGGCATGTTTGTTTGAACTATTGTGCGTTTTTAAGTTATGGGTTCTAGTACAGGCGCGGTGCTGTTTATCGTTCAAGGGGCAGAGTATCGTCTTCGGGTCGAATCGGAGTTTCTACAAGCACTGCTGCGGTTTAGGGTTTAATGTTTAGCTTGACGGTTCAGCAACCTCTTCTTCGAGAATTCTTGACAATATTTCCCCCTTACAACCCTACATGCTTAGACTCTAATTTGGAGTAGGCCAAAAATATCCCAAAGCCATATTCCATCTTTGTGGACTCCTAAATCTGACTCCTAGTCTTCACTTCATAGTGAACCCTCAGCCCGGAACACGCGATGCACCTCACACCCTAAACGCCAAAACCCTAAACCTGAAACCCTAAACCCTAAGCCCCTAACCCTAAACCCTGTTAAACCACAAAGCAACTCTCGGCCAGAACTCCCTGCTAAAGCTGAAGCCGCGTGTGGCGCAGGTTGGACGGTTAAGGGTTTGGAGTTTGAGCGGCGTTAAGGGCTTAGGGCCTAGGGTTTAGGGCTTACGGTTTAGGGCTTAAGGTTTAGGTTTAAGGTTTAGGGTTTAGGGTTTAGGGCAGCCAAATCACTTCACAGCTTGAAAATTGAGCTCAAGCGTATCCGAAAAGAGATGGGTATTTCCGCATCAAAGCCTGGACGATGAAGGTTCAAGGCTCACTCAGCTTCAGGTCGCATGAGATCCTAACTCTCAAAGGGGACAAGGAGGGACCCCTAATGGGGACCCCTACCCTATAATGGGCTATATAATGGGTATATAATAGCTATTTTAAGGGTTTTTACCTAGGGGTCCTTATTAAGGGTCCCTCCTTTTACCCTTGGAAACTCATGACCGACAACCACGGATTTACGTTTGATGGCGAATATTAACGGGTTGCGCAAACAGGGGCGCAGGGTTCGGTGTTCAGGGTTTTTAGTACCCTCTAGTCGAGTTTAGGACGCGAAAGTCTGTAGGCGTTTAGGACTTGGGCTCAAAAGGCATTGTAGTAGGGATCCGAATATTCCGAAAGAAAGCGGTTTATTGGTCGAGGAATTTTGAGCAAGGTTAATTCTGTTAAAGTGTGTCGAAGAGCAAATCTACAAAGCAGTCTCAACCCCAAACGCTAAACCCCAAATCCTAGACGACCCCAAACCCTAAAACCTAAACCTAAAGTCCCTAGCCCGGTGCCTCAGCATGTGCAGAAGTGAACTGAACAGGAAGAAGCCCCTGGGCTTAGCTTAACGCTCATGTAGAGTCCCCAGCAAAATGGCAGTGTGACCCTAAAAACTTATGTCAGACATGTGACGGTATTGACAACACTGACGGGCGTGTTTCCACCGGTGTGGAGTTGTCGAGCGGCTAGTTGTTGATCCCTGCACGTGCAGGGGTTCCAAGATTAAGGGTTCTCCAAGGTTTCTTCAAGGAATCTTCGTGGTTCGATAACCCTAAGGCCCTAAGGGCCCATGTGCTCATATAGTATATACATTGGCCTAAGAGTAGTCCCCATATAGGTACTTTGGGGCCAAAGATTTGGGTACATGGACCCTTAGGATAAGCATGTTATGTGGTTTAAGTATCAGTTTAGGGTCTCTAAGCCCTAAACCCTAAACCCAGAAACCCCTAAAACCCTAAATCCCTAAACCCCTAAACCCTAACCCCTACAAAGCTAAACCCTAAGCCCCTAAACCCTTAGGGTTTAAGCTCGCGCACACCAGGTCCAGCAGGCGACGGTGGACCTGAAAAAGAAGATCGCCCAGGCGGTAAGCGTTTAAAGGATCCCTTGAAGATTTCTGAAGCAAATCTACTTGGAGGATCATGGGACTTAGTAAGTAAGGTTATAAGTACCTTATTAATTGGGCTTATAAGTAGTTATAAGTATAGTTACCCTGATTAGAACCCTAGTTACTAAGTCCCATGATCCTTTAAGTATCACAAGGGACCCCAATTTAGAGAACTACGTACCCATAGATGCGTGACTCGTGACCCTCCAAAAGGCCGAGAAAAAGTTGACGGCCGCGGTGGAAGAGGAGAAGAAGCGGAGGCCAATTAGTCTCTGGTTGGGGGTTTTGAGGGTTAGGGCTAACGGTTTAGGAGGTTTGGGGGCTTTCTTAACCCTAAACCCTAAACCCTAAACCTTCCAGTATTATAAGGTTTCAGGGTATTGCTAGGGGTTTGCCAGGGTCATCAGGTTTAGGGGCTTTCTTAGGGGTGTGGGGTTTTAGGGTCGTAAGGTTTGATCGGTTTTTCAGTTAAGGAGTTTACGGTTTGGGGTCAGAAATAGAGTTTTGGCACTTAAGGGTTTAGTGGTTCAGGGTTTGGGGTTTGTAGGGTTCAGGGTTGAATTGGTCAACGGCGCCAAGGGTTTTAGCCGAGAGGTTCGCAGCCTAGGTGTTTCAGGATGTAGAGCTATTCGTACCTGTTAAAATACGAACCTACTCACTCATTATACGGGGATTTGCAAGATTCCTAGTCGTCGTAGTCGACATCCTCATCTTGTACTGCGGCCATAAGCACGGAAGAAGACGGCGAAAACGACGTAAGTGGCCTAAGCGACGATGACAGCGAAGGGTGACGGCCAGGGCATTGGTGATGGCGATCGTGATGGGTTAATAGCGATGCTGATTTAGTTTGTGTTGATCTTAGTAGTGACGGCGCTGAGAGTGGGATTGTGTATTAGGCCTTACATAAACAAACTCAACAAACCTTATGTTATGCATACATGTTGTTGTATACCAACCGGTGTATATAGAACCATGCATAAGGGAGTATATAGCCTCTCTGAGTCCAGGCTGGAAGCCGCAGACAAGCGAGCTGCTGCAGCGCTCGTGGAGGACTCTCCCAAGGGAGAGTGCTCATGGGTTCGTTGGGTTTCGTAGGGTTCCGCTACAGGAACTAGATTGTAAAGTTTTTCTGCAAAGGGAACGTTTCATGTATGCTTGGCTTCATGGCTTAGAAGTTTAGGAGTTTAGGTCTTGGGTTTTTGGGTTTAAAGTTTTGTTTTTTTCGAACATCACCCCTCCAGGTTGACAAGTAATGCACTCCTACTCTGTCTGTCCTGTCTTGGTGGTCTTCTTGTTTATTCGAAACTTCGGAGTAGGACATGTACCATGTTCTTTGAGGATATGTGGGGCAAGCTTGTACTTCCGGGAATGCAAGCCTACAGTTACAGCTGTCCGAAACCTCAGTGCCTGCATATGCTTGTTGTGAACTTGTCGGGGTTTCGGGTTAAGGGCTTACTTTTCCTTGGCTAGCAAGGTGTTAAGGTTCCTACATCAGTACCCTGAACCCTAAACCCTAGCCCCTAAAGCCTAAAGCCCAAACCCTCAACCTGGCATCTGCTTGGCTTCGATAGTCCCGTTGTCGCTTGTCGCAGAGGACGTGGCCAAGCTGCTTCAGGCGGATGAGGAGGCTTTGGAACGGCGGTGCACAGGGTGTAGGGGTTTAGGGCTGAGGATTTAGGGCTTAGGGTTTAGGGTTTAGGGGTTTAGGGTTTAGGGGTTTAGGGGTTTAGGGTTTGGGGTTTAGGGTGTAGGGGTTTAGGGCTGAGGATTTAGGGCTTAGGGTTTAGGGTTTAGGGGTTTAGGGTTTAGGGGTTTAGGGGTTTAGGGTTTGGGGTTTAGGGTGTAGGGGTTTAGGGCTGAGGATTTAGGGTTTAGGGTTTAGGGGTTTAGGGGTTTAGGGGTTTAGGGTGTAGGGGTTTAGGGCTGAGGATTTACGATCATGTTGAAATGCTTGTGCAAACCCTAAAACCCTAACCTAATGCACTTGGCCCGAAACCCTGAACGCCCTGAGCCCTGAACAGTCCAACCCTTCACCCTAAATCGTAAACCTTGTACCGCTGGAGAAGAGCCTCAAACATTGCCAACATGACTCCAAGGGGTTCCTTACCATGACTGTACTATGAAGGAGCTCAAAACCCTATTCTACATATTGAGGCCCCTCTGTTATAGAACCCTGAACCATAGCCCTTGTAATAGGAAATCGCTTCAAAGGAGCCTTATTCCATGTTTTGAGACCCCTTAGACCCCAAACCCTAAACCCAAACCATACAACCCTAAAGCCCTAAAGCCCTAAAGCCCTAAAACCCTAAAACCCTAAACCCCAAACCCTAAACCCAAACCATACAACCCTAAAACCCTAAAGCCCTAAACCTTAAAATCCTAAATCCCAAACCGGAAACCTGGGGTCCCTAACTTTCGGACACCCCCATACAACCCTAAACTCAAAGGGGAAAAGGAGGGGACCCCTACCCTATCATGGGCTATATAATGGGTATATACTAGCTACATTAGGGTATATATCTAGGGGTCCTTATTACGGGTCCCTCCTTTTACCCTTGGATAAACCCAAACCCTATCTTACCCTTGCCCAGGCGCTGAACAAAGTGCTTCCTGCTGCCGAGGGCCTCATTGCCACGCTGGGAGGCTGCTGTTGGCTTTCGAGCTTGGGGGGTTTCGGATATAGAATATAGGGTTTATGGTTTCGGGAGTTGTTTCGGATACAGGGTTTAGGGCTTAGGGTTTCGGATACAAAATATAGGGTTCATGGTTTCGGGGGTTTAGGGTTTTTGGTTTTGGGTTTGGGGTTTAGGTTTTAAGGTTTATGGTTTAGGGTGTAGGATTTCGGACGTAGGGCTTATGGTTTCGGATTTAGGGTTTGGGGTTTCGGATTTAGGGTTTGGGTTTCAGGATTTAGGGTTTAGAGTCTCGGATGTAGGGTTTATGGTTGCGGATCTAAGGTTCTGGGTTTGTGGTTTCGGATTTTGGGTTTAGGTTTTAGGGTTTAGGGATTCGGATAGAGGGAGGTCTAGTATGCCTTCTGAGAGGGAGGAAGAGGTTGTCTTAGTTAATCCTCAAACCCTAAACCGGTTTAGGGTTTAGGGCTTAGGGTTGAGGGTTAATAAGCATGGTGACATAGTCTGTAAAATGTTGCTTGAAGGGTCTAGAGGGAGCCCCAGAAAGTTGGAACATGGGTCGGGGATGATTCGTGCTAGGATTCCTTATGCTAATGTAGGAACCCTGATCAAGAAACCTGAAATGAACAATACTATTTGGGGGTTGTAGGGCCAGGGTTTCTTGATCAGGTTCCTACATTATGCCTTAAGGGTATGAGGATAATGATGTTCCCACTTTCGTGCATGTAGTCCCCTAAACCCTAAACCCTAAACCCCTAAACCCTAAACCCTGTGTAGAGTCAGCTTGGGAGGATCGAGCAAGCGTAAAAAGGAGTTCAAAACAACCCTGTGTAGAGTGGAGGAAGACCTGAACCTTGCCCAGAGCCGCACGGCAACAGTCGACCGCTCATGCAGGCGACCAGGAAAATCCGGTGGCTGCCATGGAAGCCGCGGATAAAGAGATAGCTGCTGTGGAGGATGCCGGGTCCGGGTACAGTGTTTTGTTTTGGTCTTTGTTGTAGATTTCTTTTTTACGGCTAGGGTTTAGAGTTGAGGGTGTGGGCTTAAGGTTTAAAGTTGAAGGGCTTAGGGCGAAGAGGGCCCAAACAAGTGTTCATACAACTGTGATAGTAGCCTCGTTAGCCGCATATTGTTACCGCCCCAGGCAATCCTCATTGAACCGCTTCCAATCCTAGTTCATGGTTGGGATAGGATTAAACATTATTTTTCATTCCTGGTTGGGTTTAAGTACCCATAAAAATGCAAAGCGTTACCGTTACCCAACTATGACAAACAAACCATGGTCTTCCCTTTCAGCTCACTACTGCTCGAAACTCGTCGCAGTGTCGCAGTACGAGGTGTTAAACATGCTATCATGCTCGTCTTTGTAACCATCAACATCATCACCAACACACCGCCGACACCATCATCATCGTTTCAGAATCTTCGTCACCACCATTGCGAGCATCAAACATGTCGTCAGCGTCGTCGTCCAAATCGTGACCGACGCGATTGCAAAGCCCTACTCTAAAACGCTGCGCTTTCACGGGTTCCGAAAAAGAAACGACATCTAAATGCCCATTTCCGCCAAGAAATCGTCGCTCCTTCCTGAGCTTCCCCAAGCCATGTCCGTGCTCCCCCAACTAAACTGCTGAAAAGAACCCGGCAGGACCACACGGAACTGAAAATCCTAAAGTTTTAAACCCGAAAGCCTACAGAGTCAACAAATCCTAAGTCCTAAGCCCTAAACTCTTGGAAATTCGCAGCCCCAAACTCTTCGAGCAGGGTACCTTATTTTGGGGTCCTTATAACAAGGATCCTACTGCTGTATTAGGGTCGCCTATTTTCGGACCCCCCCCATATAAACTCTAAACCCCAAACTCCTCCAGGAAGCCCTAACTATACGTATACAAACTCCACACCCCCCCAAACCTTAAACCCTAAACCCTGAACCAAACTCTAAACCCCAAACGCCTCCAGGCTAGAGACGAGAGCAGTTTGCAAAAAGGCCATCAAAAAAAACACCCCAAACTCCTCGAGGAATCCCTGGCGGCGACCATGGTTAAGGTGAAAGAGAAGTCCGAGGGCATGAAGGGCCTGGGTCTCGCCTTAGGGAGTTTAGGGGTTTAGGGAGTTTAGAGTTTAAGGCTTCGGGTTTAGGGTTCAGGGAGTTCAGGAAGTTTAGGGGTTAGGGAGTTTAGGGTTTGGGGTTTGGGGTTTAGGGAGTATAAGGTTTGGGGTTTAGGTGTTTAGGGTTCAGGGTTTACAAATTCAGGGATATCGTATCCATCGTGTTTGCAAGTGAAGGCTTCAGTGTTCGGGCTTTCAGAGTTCAGGGTGTAGGGGATAGGGGTTTTGGAGATTTTCTTTGCAGACAGGGATATAGAGACTCCAAATGCCTCAGTGATATTAGCAGTGTTTCGCTACGCGTCCTTTGCCTGTTGCAAACTGTCTCGAGCATGTCTCCTGTGGGTTCCGCGCCGAGCATACAGCACTACAGCACCGTCGAGTAGTTTGACTGAGTGATTTGACCAGTCATCCTAGCCGCGAGTGCTAACAGCTAGCACGAATGTTTCTGGGATATAGCAGCAGCAGAGGCTGTGGATCATGCCAGCAGCAGCAGTGGCAAGCACAAGAGCTGCAAGAAGAGCCGTCAGCAGAAAGGAGAGTAGCGGCACATCAAGAGCATCGTGGATGCCGCCAAACTAGACTAGCACTAGCAGTACCACTACCATCACCACCGCGGCCTGCTCCTGCACATCACCGCTTGCTTTACTTACCTTTTGTTAATAGGGAATGGAAGAATGGTAGTAACAGTAGTTATACTTGTACCCATTCCTCCATTCCCTACTAGCCAAAGGTAAGCTCTAGGATTATTAAGGCCCCAAAATAATAGTACCCTCATAGATCCCTTATAGTAACCCGTATAGACCCCTTTATAAGGCCCCTTTCATTCCCTACTAGCCAAAGGTATGTTCAGCTGCTTCGTCCCTAAACCCTAAACCCTAAACCCTAGCCCAGGTCACCAAGCGAAGGGGCCTTACTCAGAAGCCAAGAACAGCCTTGTGAAGATGAAGGTGAAGGCTTCGGGTACTGTATAGCATAATATATAATCATATACCTTTTTCACTATCTGCTATCTGCTAACTATCTGTTATGTGTAGATATATATATGTTTATATTTATATTTATATTTATACATAAGGCTTCGGGTTCAGGGTTCGGGGGTTTTGGGGTTCAGGGTTTAGGGTTTAGGGTTCAGAGTTCCGCAAGTTCTTGAAGTTTCCTTATGCACCGCATGAAGCCTACACGGTTTATGGTTCGTATCATATCCCGCATGGGGTTTAGAGTGAGATGTAGGGCCCCAATATTTTGAATGTCTTTAGGTCCTTCAAGTTCGTTGCAGCGTTTAGGAGTTCACGTAGTTCGGGACGTGAGAAGGAAGGGGTCGCTGTTTTTGAAGCATCTGGCGTTCAGGTCATCATGATTCGAGACAGTCGTTTTCGCGCGTGTGCTTAGTCAGCTTGGCTTTTGAGGTTCGTTGAGGTGTTGCTTGCATCCTGTCTTGATCAGCCCCAAGCCCAAGCCCTATATCCTCTCCACCTCAAGGGCTGCCCAAATCCTGATCCCGAGGCCTCAGCCCCCAGTGCTAGCTCCTCTCCCCCCATTATAGCACATCTGAGAAGTGTAGTCGTAGCCGTGATGCTAATCATGTCGGTGATGGGGGATGGCAATTGTTGTGGTGATGATACCAATGCCTGAGTACTCGTAGCTGCCACTACGATGAAGCTGCGGTTTAGGGTTTAGGGGTTTAGGGTTTAGGGCTGCCGTTCCACCCAGGCTTTCGGTATTGCCAAGTCCTGTCGTTCACCCTAAACCCTAAACCCTAAACCCTTCTGCACCCTCGTCTCCCTCGACCCTCAGACCCCCTCTCCATTCCTGGGCTTCAGAGCATACCAGACTTCTCAAACCCTGGATGTTAAACCTTGAGCCCTCATCAGTGAACCTTAAGCCCTAAGCCCCCACTCAAACCTGGCTACAAAAACGAATATCTCATGACCCCCGAAACTTCGAAGGTCCCAACAGAAACTTTGAGAGTTCAAAGGGTTTAGGGTTTAGGGTTCGAAGCCCTCAGGGCGAACTCCCGAAAGTTCAACCCGAACCCCCGTATCCCCAAAGGCGATACAGGGGCCTTAATGATTAGAATAGGGTCGCCTTTGAAGGGATTTCGTAGCGTTCCTTTAGAGGGTCTATAAGGGCTACTTTTAAGGGCTATTATGAGGATTTAACATATAGGGGCCTTAAAATAGTTAGAATACGTAGGATTTTGGGGGTTCATTATTGTAATTATATAGGTTTAGTATCCCCCAAAGCCTATTCTAAGTATTGAGGCCCCGGCTGCATAAGGGGCCTGGAGGTTGGGGAATCTTACTTAGCCTTTTTGCTGGCCCGAGGCCGGGAGAATTTGGAATATTGCTAGTTACTCTTTAGAATTGCGAATATATAAGTACAGAAAGAGGTAGCCCAAGAGGCCAGGCAAAACCTTGAACCCTAAACCCTAAATCCTAAACCCTTAACCCGAAACCCTACAACCCTATACCCCTACAATCCAAAACCTTGAAAACCCTAAACCCTAAAAGCACCAAAGCCGATGGCTGGAGCGCTGGAGCTTCAAAACTAACAGCCTCAACAACTGAGCTCCGAGGCTTATGTAGACCGCCGCTAAGTCAACCCTTGCTATAACAGGCCCAGAGTAAGCCCTTATTCACATCTTTAGGGTTCAGGTTCCCTTATAACACCTTGAAACCAATAAAGGCACCCTTTGTTATTCCTAGGTTACTCTTAGGTCTAACAGGACTGAATGAGGATCCCTTTTGTCCTCCTTACTCAGGGAGGGGTTTGCTAACCAGGGGTTTACAACATCCTAAGCCCTAAACCTTGTATCCCCGACACTCTTGCGGCTCTTTCAAAGGATCCCTGACGCATCCTACCAAACCCTAAACCCCAAACCCTAAACCCTAAACCCTAAACCCGACACCCAGACAAACGATCAGACGCTAAACCTTAAACCCGGAGCCCTGAACCCCTAAACCCTATAGCACGCACCCTTCTACATGCCTTATAGGAACTCTTATAGCTCCTTTAAAGTCAAACCCTTTCTTTTTTGGATCAGACCGGCGCTTTGGAGAACAAGTGCCGAAAGCTGCGGACGGGTCTGCAAGTCGCCAAGAACGACATGGCCAACGCGGCCGCATCTCGCCAAAAAAACCCAGGAAAGGAGGGACCTCTACTTGGAAGGGCAGGGGACTTAGTAAGTAGGTTATAAGTAGAGTTATAAGTACCCTAAATGGAGTTACCCCAATTCTAACCCTACTTATTACCTACTTACTAAGTCCCCTGCCCTTCCAAGTATACTTGTTGAGCATCCTTGTGGCTTCTTCTTTCGAAGGGCTTCAGGGGTTTAGATTAGGTACGGCCCCCTTACAACTGAGTGGGGGCCGTACCCAAGGTTTAGAGTTTAGGGTTCCGGGTTAAGGGTTTAGGGTTAATTCTATATCCAAAGGCTCCAAGGGTAGGATGGAGTTAATTGCGGCAATCCCAGTAAGAGTCCTTATATAATACGGGATCCTCAATCCCACCTACCTTCGTCCCACTTTTTGAGGCCTCCAATCTTTTGACGTTTTAACTTTGCTTGCTTCAGGGTCGTAACGCCTGAAGGGTTTGGGGTTCTCTTTTTTAGTATTTTCTTAGGGTGGAGGGGGGGGGTGTTTCCCTTACTTGCCGAACCCGTTTATTCCGATCTTTGGATCCTTTTTATCATCCCTTTTGCGGTAATCTTGCCCGCGGCGGTCCAAGGAAGACGCGATTCTGAAGGCCCTCCGTGTGCACGTCAAAGCGCAGGCGGCTACAGAAAAATAGGTCATGGTACTGGGCTTTGGAGTACCATACTTTGATACTTTTGAACAGAAAGGAACCATTGTGAAATACAAGTTTATACTGTTTCCTCCCTGGTTAGAGAAAGCCCAGGGTAAGTTCAAGAGGGCTTTGGACCTGGGAGGTCAGGGTTTGAGGGCACAATGTCATTCTCCGCTCTGGCCGTTCTTTTTGGCTTTGAGGTTTAGGGTCTAGGGTTTAGGGTGGGGTGTAGAAGAGGGGAGTAGCTCTAGAAATTACCAGTTGATGTCAACCTGACCGAACCAGCGAAGCATCCCAAACCCGAAATGGTCTTTTCTGATCAGATAGCTTCAAAGTTAAGGGTTAGGGTTTAGGGTTTAGGGTTAGATCAGAACTGGTTTCCGTGGAGTTGGGGACAACGTTTTCGCCTCCTGTTTCACGCATGCAATCCTAACAGCTCCAAACCATGAAACGTTGATCGTTGAACACGATAAAGCCCTAAACCATCCAAAACCCAAGCCCGAAACCCATAACCCCAAACTATCCTGCTCCTACACCCTCAGTCATAAGCCTCAACCTGCGGGGTCGTGAATTCTGTTCTCTTGTCAACCCATATGCGTAGACCATCCTAGACCGCAAAGCCCTATGCACAAAACAAGCTAGGACTTGTTTGCTTTTGCAATTTATGCTGAAGGCCAGATTGGCGTATTTTGGTGTGTTCTTATAGGGAGCTTGTTCTAGGGTTCAGGGTTTAGGGCTTGTGACCCCGCACCCTGAGGCCTTGAGGTCCTCTTCCAAGTGATAAGACCCTGAATGAAGAACATTTGGGAGTTTCCGAAAATTAGGGGTACTTGAATTCGGGGTCCTTATAAAAAGGATCCTACTGTATGAAGGCCCCTATTTTCGGAAACTCCCAGTTTCAGGTTTCAAGGAAGGTGGGTTTTCAGGACTGGAAAGAACTTGGAAGGGCAGGGGACTTAGTAAGTAGGTTAGTACCCTACATGGAGTTACCCCAATTATAACCCTACTTATAACCTACTTACTAAGTCCCCTGCCCTTCCAAGAAGGATTATCAAGGATGATGTCATTCTCAACCTTACACCACGCTCAGGGACCCAGCCTACAGTCGGAAAAAGGAGCACAAAAAAACAAAACACGCTCAGGTGTATTTAAAGGGAACTCCAGAAAGTTGGAATATGGATTAATGGTAGGATCCCCTATAATTTACCTTACAGGGATTACGATAATGATATTCCAACTTTCTGGCTTCTGCTGTACGTTTGAGAGTTTAAGGCTCGCGGGTAGGGGGATAAATCCGTGTCCGGGCAGCGCTGCTATGTCTCAGAACATCCCTCGCGCATCCGAATATCTTCTACTGACGTAGCAGATCAGGGATTTGGCAAGTAGGTGGCACAAGTGACCGTAATTCCATGGCGGCCTCATCATCAGAATAGAACGGGGTTTGGGGCCAGTATACGAACATTACACTAACGAACCCCGAGGTTGGCAATAAGTCAGGCCCCTACATTACCTTCCAAACTCTAAATGCCTGAACTTGTCGCACCCAAGATGCAGCATTGCGGCAAACCCCAGTCTTATCATGAAGGCCCCTCCCTTAATGCCCTATCAAAACCTCAAACAGACCGTACAAGTCCGTATACATTATATGCGCCTGTACTGAACACTATGGGGCTAGTGTTATCTAGGGTCTCGCCCAAGATTACGCTTGAAGCATAAGCCCTACACCCTAAACCGCATGCTCCTTTCTGCAGGGCATGAGCGCGGAGGAGCTGAACCCGGGTGTTTGACAGGGTCCTAAAACGGCTGATAATACAAGGGTGCCTTTTTGACGGTTTATGGGGTTCCTGAGGGCATCCAGTACAGGGGCCTGAATAATTGCAATAGGGTTTTGGGACCCATTATACTATAAGCATGATAAGGGACCCTCAAAATGGTATTGGTAGTTGTTAAGGCCCCTACTTGGAAGGGCAGGGGACTTAGTAAGTAGGTTATAAGTAGGGTTATAATTGGGGTAACTCCATTTAGGGTACTTATAACTCTACTTATAACCTACTTACTAAGTCCCCTGCCCTTCCAAGTATCTCAATAAACAAAAAGCTATTTTCCCAGACAGGGGCTTCTTCCCTCAAGGGGGTTTAGGGTTTAGGATTCAGGGAGGACTCCAGAAGGGCTGGTTAAGGCGTTTAGGCTCTAGGGTTTTACCTGCAGGGTCTGTTGTTTAGGGCTGAGGGTTTAAAGGGAACTCCAGAAAGTTGGAATATGGTTTCAGGGTAGGATCCCCTATAATTTACCATAGAAGGGTTAGGATAATCATATTCCAACTTTCTGGCTTCTACTGTAAACCCTGAATCCTAGACCCTAAACCTTCAACACGTGGATGCACGAAGGGGCCGCAAACTTGAGCAGAAAGAGCAAGCCGCTTGTTGCGTTCTGCAGTCAACAGTCTTCGATGGATCAGGCACTTCAAAGGCCGAAGATGCCGTATTTTGAGGTTTCCCTGCTCTTTTGGGCATGGGCATCTATGAGATGCTTAAAGCTTCTTCAAAGCCCTACGAAATCCTGTAACCCCCAACGGTTCAAGCCAGCGAGCCCTTGACCCAAGACCCTGAGCTTAGAGACCCAAAAAGAACAGAAGCATATTTTTTTTACAATGATATCGTTTCCTTATTGGGCTTCTGAAAAAGAGGGTTTATATGAGATATCCCTATCCTAACTTTTGCTTTTGTGCTTTTTCGGAGCGCTATCAAGCCCTATGCCTTGGCTCTAATGATCCTAGTAATAGAGTAGGTACCCTTTAACCTTTTTTGGGTAGTATAGTCCCTATAACACCAAAAAGGTTAACCTTAAGTTCCCATGATACCCGACAAGTAGGTAATAATCCAAGACGCAATACCACATTGCAGAGGTCTGGGCAACTAGCAATGTCCTACAACTCACCTCACAAAGGCATCCTAGTCATAATTGCCATTTTGAAGGCCCATGCACTAACCCCTTAACCCCTTGAACCTGCATTACAGCCCGTAAAGTAACCCTATGCTAACTATCCAGGCCTAGAAGTAAAACATAGCTTACTCATAATATACAGCCCCAAAACTCCAGCCTAGTTATCCAGACCCTACATTACGCCCGAAAGACTACAGACAACCAATATTAGTAATATTAGCAGGAGCTGTTCCAGAAGCTGGGGAAGGGGGAGGAGTCGATCCAGGCCGACACGCTGCGCCTCGACTGAAAGAAGACTTTCCCTTAGCACAGAAAGGTTTAGGATCACTTGTCGGGCTTTCTCTCAATGTATCACGATATCGTCATTACTACTGCGCTTCTTTCTTGTACCTTGTCCTCAAGTGGTTGAAGGCATCTCATAGAGGCTTCAAGGCTTTTTGGATGGAAGCGTTTGGGCTTTAATCCAGAAACCTGAAGAATGATTGCTATTGAATGCATTTATCTGCAGTACTAAAAATGTGCCCGAACACCCTATTCCTACTCTGAAAACATCTGCATAAAGTGTTAGTTTAGTTTCGGGTGCTTAGAGGTTCGTCCCTCACCGGGTTTGGGGATTCAACGGTTCAGGGTTTCAGCCTTCCCTGTTGAGATTTTGCTTGCTCTTTTAATCTAGAATCTTGAATAATTTCGGATGTGAATATATATATATATATATATATATATATATGTAGGGGATCCCTGCATTCTAAGTGTGCTATAAAGGAGCCCCAAACCCTATTGCAACTGTTCAAGCTGCCAGGCAAGAAGGGACTCCACTTGCTGAGTTTCCTTGTGGCTTCTTATTTCAAACGGCTCCAAGGGTGGGTTTGGGGTTTAGTGTTTAAGGTTTACGGTTTAGAGTTTAGGGCTTAGAGTTCAGGGTTTAGAGTTCAGGGCTTCGAGTTTAGGGTCGAGGGTTAATTCTATATCGAAGGGCTGCAAGTGTGGGTCGAGTAATCCCAAATTGAGAGTCCTTATATGGGAGTTTCCGAAAATTAGGCGTACCATATTTGGGGGTCCTTATAATGAGGATCCTACTATTGGGGGTACTATATTAGGGTCCCTTATTTTCGGAAACTCCCATATAAGAGATTTTAAATCCTGCCTATCCTTCATCCCACCTTTTCAGGACTCCGATAACTACAGCTGCCGCGATGTCTGCTTGTCGAAAGGGTTTTAAGTGCTGGGGCGCATACTATTTCACGCATCGAACCTGGAACCCCTAAACCCAAAGCCACTAAACCCTAAACCCCTAAACTCTAAACCCTTAAGCCTCTAAACCCCAAACACCTAAACCCTAATCCCGTAGACTCTAAGCCACTAAACTCTAAACCCCTGAACCCTCAACCCTAAGCCCTAAGATGCTTAACCGTAGATCCCCAATATCTAACCTTCAAAATTTGGGTTCTTATAGTTTAGTAGGAATCGGAAAGTTTAGCCTTTTATTTCTGTGGCTTATTGGGGAAGTAAGTAATCCCTTTTAAGGAGCCCTTTAAAGGACCCCTAAGATCCCTTAAAGATCCCTATATTATATCCCCCACTTAACGCCTCGAAGAGTTTTTTTTTCGTCGAGGCGGGCCTTCATTGAGAAGATTCCGGACTCTCAGCTCAAGGCGCCCAGCTGGGAGTTTCCAAAAATTACGGGTTATGCTGGGATTCCGTTAAAGGGATCCTTTAAGGGATCCGTAAAAGGATCTAGACGGGTTCTATAAAGGGTTTAGGGTGTAGGTTATAGAGTTGCCGAAAATTAGGGGGTAATTACCTTATTTAGGACCTAGAGTAGGCCCTTATTCCCTTATTTTAGGGTTCAGGTTCCCTTATAAGCCCCTTTAACCCAAAAAGGGCACCCCTTTTTAGTCCTAGGTTTAGGTCTAGTTATTTAGGGGTTCTCTATGTTCGGGAACTCGAAGCTCTTCTGTGGGATTAGGGTGGCTCTTAGTGTTTAGGAATGGGGTTTAGAGTTTAGGGTTTACCTATAGTTTCCATTGTAGTTCCTTTTTTGGGTTATCCAAAATCTCTATTATAGGTTCCTAACCATAAAACTGGTTAACCAGAAAAAGGAACTACAATGGAGACTATAGGTAGGATTTGATTTAGAGTTTAGGTCAGGGCCGGGTTCGCAAGACTGGGGGGGGGTTGTAGTGTCTAGGCTTTGTTTGGGTTTTCGGGTTTAGGGTTTAGATTGGGTTTAGGGTTTAGGGTTTAGGGTGCTTGTTAAATTGGGATTAGAAAAATCAGGGACGGGATTAGGGGTCGGTGTTTGGGGATTTGGGGTGTAGCGTTTAGGGTTTGGGGTGGATTGTGGCTGCTGCTGCTTCGCCGAATCCGGGAGGATTTTTGGAGGCTCTTGGGTTCTTTTTCGGAAGCCAAGACCATCTACACACTAAGCCCATCCTTGCCGCAACACCCTGAGTGAACCCATCAAGCCCCGAAAGTGACCTGAAGTTGGGTGTTCCTCAGGAATCATTAAAGTTGTTTGCTTAATTCGAACACAGGCCCTAACCCCCAAACCCTAAACCATAATCAACCCCCAAACCCCTAAACCCTAAACCATTACAAGAGGCTGAAGAAACCCCGAAAGCCTAATCCTTGAAGCCTTAACACCTAAAGCCAGGCGAGTCAGCTGGACCTCGCCCTGACTCGGTTCTCGCATGGGTTGCACCTTGGCTTTGGGGCTTTGGGGTTCTTAATCGATGCTCGACTTTCTGCGGTTCAGGGCTTAGGGGTAGCGTTACAAAGTTTGGGGGTTTGGGGTTTAGGGTTGGGGTTCAGGGGTTAAGGGTTGATGTAAATTTGGAGGTAGGTTCGGAGAAGCCCGAATGGTAGTCATATTGCCAGTGTTAAATACATCATTATTCCCCGACAATTTACTTACGACCCCTGTTCTATTGAATTATGAAGGCCCCTCGCTGCAATGAATAGTCTGCTGGATTTGACGTGTCGGAGTCCCCCAAGCGCGGCCGTTCGCACAGTCCACATGAAGACGTTGGGAGCTTTCTTTGGGGTTTTGAGCGTCGGCCCTAGCCTGAAGCTCCCAAACTTAAACCGCCCTCTATACTATAGGACTTAAACAATTACCAACACTATCTTGAGGCTTCCTGCGAGAAATGCCACACTGAGGTCGAAACTTATGGTCTTGGACCTGGTGCAGGAGAACGGCAGTTCACAGATGGGGTTCTGGGTTTACGGTTTTGGGGTCGGTTTATTGTATTTATTCAAGGGTATTGGGTTTTTTCTAGTTTTAATTATGTAGGGTTACGGTGTTCGCTGTGAACCCTAAACCCTAAGCCCCCAAATCCTAGACCCTAAGGACTTAAGGTTTAACGGTCCGGGAAGATTCTTAAAACAAAAGCATGCAGCATTCAAGGTTTTCTGGCTGAGTCTTCTGAGGTGCCTTGGGTTTGACGCATCTTTGGCACAGTTCTTCGTCAATGTACGGTCGGAAGTTTAGCAACACCGACCCCTTATAGTTCCCAGAATACACAGGCACTTCATGCGAAGCAAGGCACGTGCCCAAAGAGTTTGCTGCAGGGGACTGGGGGCCTTGAGTTATGGGCTTATTTCTTTCAAGAATGTCGTACTCTCTCTCTCTCGCAATTTAAAGGAAGGGACATGGACTTTGGAGGAACTACGGCCACACCAGCAAGGGCTATTTGGGTCGCCCACGGCACCACTGTTTTCAACAATCGTGATCGTTCAGAAGTAAATGGCTTTGGAGCACTGATCGTTCCAACCTTCCTGGTGCTGTTGCCACGACAACTGCGGCGGTGGGCACGCCGCAGAGTGGCCTCACTTGCTGATGCAACAGCGCCTCCCATGAGCAAAGCAACTTGCGCCCCAGTGAAAATCTTGCAAAAACTGTCGCGAAGAAGCCCTCGCCCCTAAACCCTTCAACTTCGGCACTAAACTCCTAAATCCCGAGCCCCTCTATGCAGTACTTGGAAGGGCAGGGGACTTAGTAAGTAGGTTATAAGTAGAGTTATAATTGGGGTAACTCCATTTAGGGTACTTATAACTCTACTTATAACCTACTTACAAAGTCCCCTGCCCTTCCAAGTAGGGTGACAAGAATCATGGCAGGAGTTCCAGAAGTGCGTCAAAGAGCTGCGTGTCGGCAATCCAGGAAATCCAGAGGGTTTAGGGTGTAGGGTTTAGGGCTCCAACATCCTTTAATTAAGGAATATTCCTTAAATCATATTAGGGATCCTACTATAATTTAAGGAACATTCCTTAATTAAGGGATATTGGAGTCTCTGGGAAGTCACGGTTTCAAGCAGAGATTGTGATCCAGGGCTTGCGATGTCGGATGTGAGGAAACCCAACCTAGTTTGGCGACTAATATGGAAGTCTGCGTAAAATCATTGGTAACGCAATTCCGCAGATTTCCTACTAGCTAACCATTACATCCCCCAAGAACGCTAAATGTAAGTATTCAGGCACCGATATTAAGAATATACCCGGAACATTATCATCACCATTAAAGCCCTGATTATTCTGTACCTTTCTACACGGCATCTTCAGCCGACGCTACCAAACAATCACATCAGGTTCAGGAAGACTTCGTTCAGGGCTGTTTTGAGGCCCTTGGGGTTAAGTGTTTATGGTTTAGGGAGGCCGAAACCCTGACCCTAAACTCTGAGCCCTTAGCCCTAAACCCTAAAGCCTGAATCCCAAAGACCTGAACCCTCAAGCCCAAACCCGAAACCATAAAGAGCAGCGAAGGAAAGCCTAAGGTGGAGGTCTTTCGGCATGGGCTCGAAGCCTTCGGACCATCCTGCAATGACTATAGGGTAATCTAGGGTTTAGGGGTTTAGGTTTTCAATACTCTGCCATGTGCGATATTCAATCACTGACTCATCTGCGCTGACAATGGTGGGATCCTTCTTATAACAACCTTTGAATACGATCCTCCTTTCTAAATAGGGACACCCCAATACCTCAGGGGTACTTAGAATTAGTTCTTAATTTTTGGTTACTATAATCCCTAACAAAAAAGCTAAAACTCTAATTTTGCTAGGGTTCTAAGTTCAGTATAGATACATGTAAATGACGAGGGAGCATCCCACTGTTCCAATCGGCCAAGTCACTTGGAGGATCGGGTTACGTGTAGCTGCGAAGTTTTTTTTTGCAGCTGCACTTCTTACAAAAGTATAGCAGAGGTAGATAACTTTGGGGGTGTCTATCGTCGCGGCTTACTGCGAACATGACTCGCTTATAAGGCATAAACTATAAGTATCCCGAGCCCCCAAG